CGGTGCATGATCGATCATGCACCACGGTGCACGATATAATTTGCGAGATTTTCTTCTTCAAGGTTAGTTTATGCTTATTACATTTAGGAGAAAACATTTTATATATGATTTTATTGGGTTTGGATTACGGACTGCATTATTGGGTCAGTATTGGGCCAGATTATTTGAAAAAAAAAAAATGAAAGAAATAAAGCTAGGGACAAAAATTTGTTATATTAACCTTTATATTAATATATTTTTATATTTTGTAATTTCTACTATACACATGTATGTGTGTGAGACATCCCGAAAATTATTCTAACATATCGAGCCAACTTTTACGAATATTCTCTAATGAAGAATTGATTTTTTTATTCAAAAGCCCAAATTCCTCTATTTAAAAATAATCATGGCCTAGCATTTACCTTAAATGTTAAATCCAAATATTTCTAGGAAATTTATATCGTGCACCACGGCGCACATAGCAATATGCGCACAGGCACAAAACGCGCGTGTTTCATGCTGACATCATACTGACATCACTCCGTCCATTCGAACAGACCAAACCTCATTATGTGTATTCAGTTAAAATGTTATGTGTATTGTGTTATGAGTTTATGTGTATTCAGTTAAGAGTTTATGTGTATTATGTTAACCAAACCCATTATGTGTATTTAGTTAAAAGTTTATGTATATTGTGTTATGAGTTTATGTGTATTATGTATTATGTTAGATTATGTGTATTCTATTATGAGTTTATGTGCATTCGAAACAAGAGATTTTTTTTAACAACTTAACAAAACGACGTCGTTTTGAGAGGCGCGGGACGCACAGTGTTATGTGCGCCCTGGTGCACGGTATAACGATTGATATTTCTAAGTCTTATATATAAATATAATTGGATCCTTCTAAGACTACTAGTATGGGCTTTTATATATATATATATATATATATATATATATATATATATATATATATATATATATATAGATAGATTTTGAATCCGGTGCACACCCCCTAGTCAGCAGAGCCCGTGAGCACACTCTTTGATCGTTGATTTTAATTTTTTGACGATTCAGATTGATTACCACTTGGATCCCATGTTATACTAATTTTAGATGAAGCATGGGTCTTTTTGTCCTTAAACACTATATTTATTACTTTCCATTTCATTTATTTCCATGTTTATAAATATTTGTAGCATTATTTCAGCTCTCCTTAATCAATATTTCTCTCTCTCTTAGTGATTTTCTTTGGAATTTTACGGCGGTGTGTGCGTTTTACTGTAACAGGGCTCGTACACCATGGCGTGCTGGTTTTTTTTTCATAAAATTATGCGTTTTGGTATGTGCGTTTTATGATACAGGCATGCACATTTTGGTTTGTATTTTATATTACTAGTTTCGAGCGTGTGCGAAATGTATCAAAAAGAAAATAAAAATATACGAATCTAATTTGGGTATCGACGTTTGAATTTCGAGTAGATAATCAGTGCGTAGTAGATATAGTATTGGACTTGTTGTGTGTTTTTTTTTTTAAATTGTGGGGATTTTTACGATGGTGTGTGTGCGGGTGTGGAATGGCGTGTGCGATTTTTCTGTAACAGGAGGTGTACACCATAGCAAACTATAAAACGCACACACCATTCCACACCCACGCACACACCGCCGTAAAATTTCCCATAATTTAAAATTTCAAATGTACAAAATATAATTAATTATTATCATTGATAGGGTCCCTAATAATTTAAAATATCAATTGCCATTCATAATCTCCCTAATATAGTGCTTAAGATTCCAATTGAATTATATCAATAATTAAACATATATATATAATTACTATTTAATCCTTTTGATTTAAATATATCCTTAATTACTTTCACAATCTCTTATAATCTCAACCATTTATGAAAAATGAATCAATGGATATCATGAGATCTCATGATCTCATCAAGTATAGGGGTTGCACCAGATTCGAAGCCTATATATATTTACTTTGCATACATCTATTTAACTATTCTAACCCAAGCCTATGTAAATATTATTAAATCTATAATAAATTCACCCATATAATAAAAGCCCATTATCCTAGTCTTGCATTCTTTATTATATACACATGAATACATATACATATTATTCCTTATCTACAAGACTTATTACCCTAGATATTTCCCAACACACTCACTCTCCCTCATACTCTTCTACACGTCATTTCCTGTAACATCCTAAAATATTTTCTTCCAAAATTTCTATTTTATTAAATTTCAAAATAAAATTATTTTTATTCCTACGATAATTATTGCCAAAAGAGTATATACAATATTTTAAACTCTGTATCTCAAATGATTTGGTATAAAATATTTATATAATTATTTATGGTTTTAAAACCCCTATTTAAATGATATATTTATTTTCTAAAATTTTGACCCAAAAATTTATCTGAGACAAACCTGTCAAGTCACTTTTTATGAATCAAACTCCCTCAGCCCAAATGGTTTTGAATTCCTAAGTCCAGAAGTTTTGAAGTTTTGAGAGTCTTTGTATTCACCATTGTGACTTGGTATATCGTTTCCCTTGAGTTCAATGGAGAATCGGGAAATCTCTTCATGTGATGCCCAATTGCCCATAGACGTAGAAGTGAATATCTCCGAACTGGGTACGGTTATCAATTCTGGGAGTCATTTTTATTGAATTACACACTGCTATAGGTACTGAATTAGTTCAGACAACAAACTCGATTAGGAAATGTAAACCTGGATATAATTGTGTTCATTGCTTATCAGTTAAATTTAATTTAAATCATTCATAAGTAATTGGACTTAGGGCATTAGTTGCCTAATATCACCCTTGAAATGGCCTTATTTACCTATAATGCACAAAAGCCAGCACAATTTGTCTTTATTCTTAAATTAAAGCAAATTAAGCTATTATAAGCATATAATAAGCTCAAAAGGCTACAATTATGACACAAAATATCTCTAAAATACCCCACAAAATATATCATTTTTTGCACTTACTGGTGGTTGTGGTGGTGGTGTTAGTGGTGATGGTGGTGGTAGTGATGGTGGTGGTGATAGTGGTGGTGGTGGTGGTAATGGTGGTAGTGGTGATGGTGGTGTAGTGGTGTGGGGGTGTTTGTGATGGTAGTGGTGGTGGTGGTGGCGATGGTGGTGTGGTGGTAGTCGTGGTTGTGGTGTTGGTTGAGGTTGTGTAGTGGTGATGACGGTGGTGGTGATGATTGTGGTTGTGGTGGTGGTTGTGTGATGGTGTGGTGGTGATGATGATGGTGTAATGGTGGTGGTGGTGGTGATTGTTGTGTGGTGGTGGTAGTAATAATAATAATCTAGAACTAGAAAAGAGATGAGAGAGAAGATAAATATGAAAAAATAAAGAATCCGGAAAATGTCTTCCGACTAAAAACCTAGAAAGTCATTTTCTACTAAATTGGTTTTTTTTTTTTTTTTCCTTCTATTGACCAAAATGAATATTTTCTTTTAATTATATTTTCCATTTAGTCGCACGGTTGTTTCTTGCTAGTCATTTTAGTTCCTAACTTTTTACCGTTGCAATATACATCCCTAACTTTTCAAAAAAGTTTCAATTTTAACCATAGATCAACAAAACTATTAAACTCTATTAAAATATTACTTAGTGCATAGGTATTTTAGTAATTTTTAATGTTTCTTCGTTAATTATAATTTTCTTTAGTCTCGCTTTTTCATTTGTAAAAAAAAAATAAAAAATAAAATAAAAAATAAAAAATAAAAAAATCTTGATTTTAACATGTTCGAGTAGGAAAAATAGGATCGATGTACTACAATTGAAGAAGAAAATAAAGTTAGGGAAGAGGTTGTTGATTCTCTATTTTGACTATGAAATATAACAATTGAAAAGTTATAACGAATAAATTAAAGATAATAAAATTTTATAACAAATATGTACTAAGTAATATTCTAATAGAGTTTAATAATTTTGTTAATTCAGAGTTAAAAATCTAATTTTTTTGAAGAGTTAGGAGTGTATATTGCAACTTAACGGTAAAAAGTTAGTGACTAAAATGACTAGCAAGAAACAATTGAGAGACTAAAAATATATTTTTCCATAGTCTAAAAGTTCGATCAAATGGTGCGTCATTGCATTCAAATTAATCTAGAAATACATAACGTTGTTCTAATTAAAATAAAAAAATATTTATAAATACGTATTAATAGACATGAAATACAATTTATTTCAACCATTTTATATTTTACAAAAAATATTTTTATGGTGTTGAAGTTTTTTTAAGTTTTTAACGCCTCTAACACTATTTCTACATCTACCTACTTAAAAGTTAAAGATTTGTCAAATAAAAATGAAGAACTTGGGATTAATTGTAATTATAATTATGATTTGGAATAAAGTTCAAATTGACCACCACATGTAACCTGAAAATGCAATTAGACTATTGAACGAAAAAAAATTGTAATTAGGCCACTGAACACTCCAAATGTATGCATTTTCACCAGATAACATGTTACCATCAATTTTAGCAGATTACCTGCTTACATGGCAGCTGTGTTGACATTTTTAATAATAAATTGAAAAAAATTAAATAAAAAAAATAAAAATAAAAATAAAACGGCGACCACCCGTCGTTATTTTTAATATATTTTTTTATTTTTATTTAAAATTTATTAAAAATGTCAACCCAGCTGCCACATAAATAGGTAAGCTTGTAAAATTGATAGTAATTAACCTGCTATCAAATGAAATTGCATATATTTGGAGTGTTCAGGGGTCTAATTGTACTTTTTTCAATCACACTGACCTAATTATATTTTCAGGTTACGTTCAGTGGCCAATTGGAACTTTATCGATATCTTGGAATCTACCCAATAAATGTAGGGGGGGGGGGGGGGGGGGGGGTTGGTGGGGATGAGAGAACAAAGAGCCAAGGTACCACAACAAAGAGGCATGTGAAGCTGCCCACACATAAATACAATAACACATACATTTCACACAAGAAGTGAATACTTTGCACTATAGATACATACACACACACATATATATCCTCCCACCATAGTTACAAATTAATTAAATTAGTGTGAAGTAAGGTGAGGCTTTCCGAATTCCGATTGTATTTTTCCGGTGAAAATGGTGGGTGGTGGTACAAAGCCTGCATGGATGGAAGGGCTAATGGCGGAGACATTCTTTGGCGGTTGCGGTGTTCACCAGCATCGCCGGAAGAACGAGAAGAACATCTTCTGCTTACTTTGTTGCCAAAGCTTCTGCCCTCACTGCCTCCCTTCTCATCAATCTCATCCCTTTCTCCAGGTCTCATCTTTCTTTTTCTTTTCTTTAAATTTTTTGTTTATTTAATTTGTTGCCAAATATGTATGTTTAATTTGTGTTCATCACTTCACTTAGCTTGTTTATATAAATTTATTCCTTTTAGCTGATTGTTACTTCTAGAAATTCTAGGATTATTTATCTCTTCTTTTAATTCAAAATTCAATTTTTTTTTTTCCTTCCTCAATATTATCTGATTTTCAACACTGGGTAATTGGGAAACTATTTCCCCTGAATTACCACTAAATTTTAATGAAATTTCGAGATTTGGTTCTCATATTTCTTCCTTTCCCACTTAATTTGTAAACTATCAAGATTTCATTATACAATTTTTTTTTTTTTAAATATCAAAACTATCTGTTTCTTGGCATTTTAGTAAATTTTCAATTTATTTTCTAGCACATATAACTCTTTTATAAGTTTATTATTTTAAAAAATAAACAAGAAATTTTTTCTCTATTTTTTCCCTTTTCCACCGGTTTTCATATATTTTCTTTCCCATTCAAATTTTGAAAGAATGGGCTAATTAACTTATAATTGTGTATATAAAACCGTAACAAAAATGAAAAAAAAAATATTAGAAATTATGTATGCCTTTATATATTGGGTTCATATTTCATATTTTGGGTCTTAGAAAAAAAAGTGTATATATATATATATATATATATATATATATATATATATATATATATATATATATATATATATATATATATATATATATATATATATATATATATATATATATATGAGAGAGAGAGAGATTTGGAAATTGAAGTAATTAATTTTGTGGGATTTTTGTAAGAGAGTACTCTCAAATATCTGTCAGACAATTAGTTGTTTCTTGAATACTAAAAGGGGTGTGTTTGCTCCTACTTTTTGGTGCTGTTTTGTTTCCCATTTTTAGAAGAATTTCTTTTTCACCCTATTTTCCCCCTGTCAAGCTTCCTTAGCTGTTGCTTTCAACGACAGTTTGACCCAATCTTAGCCTATTTTGTCTTTATTTTACCTATGTTGTTTTAATATGGTCAGTCACCACCCTCTAGTCTTTTTTTCAATAATATTTTTTTCACAATTATTGTTATTAAATAATCTTGTATTTGCTTTTTGTGCTACTTGCCAAACACCTTGTGCTCAGATGTCATATAGTGACCTCTCTCATTTAAGAGGTCATGAAATCGAGTTTCAGTGAAAGCGTTGTTGATATTGTATGCTTCATAAGTATGTTTGAACAAATAATACAATATAATAGAGTCAGTAACATCCAAAAAAAAAAAATGTGTGCTACTTTATGATAAAATGTAGATTTTTTTTCTTTTGAATTATAATAGAGTATCAAAATCCAATTTTCATTTTTGGTGCTATATATGCTTTATATTATGTGTATATTGTACTTTTTTAGATTTAACATTGCATTTTCAAACAAAAGATTTAACATTGCTAAAAAAAAGTGTATATAATCCACGTGGAGGATGTACTAGATCATCATTTCTTGCTTTACCCTCCATTGCTCAGTTCATTTATTATTGCTACTTTTTCTTCTTGGTTGTCCTTGAAACTTGAAACTTTTACAGTCCAGTCCAATGTTTTTTAAGTATAATTTTAAAAACATAAAATTAAAGTAAATTCTATATTTAAAAGAAACCTTTTTTTTTTCGAAAGATTTAAAAGAAACCTCTTCATTCTTTCACGGTGAAGTAAAAAAAATATGATTATATTTAAATACAATTTTTTTTTTTGTATAGAATAAAAATCTTCAATTTTTATTATTGAAAAAAGAAGAAAATTAATCCCATGTTAATATTTATATTTTAATTTCCATTTTTAAGAAGGATAAAGTAATGTTTAAGATGAATAATGTTAGACAAACTCAAAGGTTTGCACTCGAACGTTTACTTGATTTTATTTAATTAAAATTTGCAATATAATTAATTATAATTCATCATAAATATAAAGAATGACTATTAATATCGGAGCAAATTGTTGATTTAACTTGTGGTCTTGTTGTATAATGGGATAGGTGAGAAGATATGTGTACCAAGATGTGATAAGGTTGAATGACTTGGAGAAGTTGATTGACTGCTCCTACATTCAGGTAATACCCAACACGCGTCTGGTTGGAGAGAATTAAAATTCAATTCTCACTTAATTCCATTTAATTTTAAAGATTATTAAATTCCTTAATTTGGTTAAAAAGAATTGCAATTCTCTCATTTTTATAGAATTAAAATTCCATGTCTCCTTTTGGTATTTTAATTCCATGGATTTTATGAAGAAAAAAGATAATCATGAGACAAAATTATTCCTCCCTTTATAAACTTAAAATTGATACCCACAACAATAATAGTCATTTTAGACTTTATACTATTTATTCATTTTCAATTCCCATGTATATCAAACATTGGAATTGAAATTTCCAATAATTCTATTCCCGTAAATCAAACACGGGAATTTAAATTCTCACTTTATTTCCAGTAATTTATTTCTTATTAAATTATAATTCATTTCTGACATAATTCTCTCCCTCTAACCAAATTCTCCGTAAAACGAATCTAAAAACAATCTGTTTCAACATCCAATGACAAAAATAAAAAATAAGAAATAATTATTTTATTAGAAAAATTAGTAAAATTCTGATAGTATATTATTGTTCCTTGTTTGGCAGCCTTATACGATAAACAGTGCCAAAGTGATATTCTTGAATCAGAGGGCGCAATCCCGGTCTTGCAAGGGTTCCGGCAATTCTTGTTTCACTTGTGATAGAATACTGCAAGACCCCTTTAGCTTCTGTTCTCTTTCCTGCAAGGTACCTCTCTCTACCATTTTCTTACATATTTATCCCTCAATTAATTATTTCCATTCTCATTAGAGTTAATTATCGAAATGGTCTCTTGATTATAGTGAAATTATCAATTTGGTTCTTGATTATTTTTTTTGACCAATTAAATCCCTTAACTTTAAAAATCTTAACCAATTTTGTCATCCGTTTGTTTGACCGTTAGTCAACCGTTAACTTGGGACCAAATTAGTAATTTGCTATAGTCAATGGACCATTTTGGTAATTAACTTTAAGGGTGGGCAATTCGGTTCAATTTTCTCGAACCGAACTGTACCAAACTAATTAGATTCGGTAATATACCGAACAACCAAACGGTAATAGATTCTTGTATACCGAACGGTTCGGTAAAAACTCGAATCGAACTGAATTTGTTCGATAAAAATCGAACCGAACCGAATACCATTTGAGCTTTGGATTGTTATTTTGTTATATATTAGACTTTGGATATGAACTATGTAAATACCATAACACATAATATAGAACTTTTGATAACAAACAATAAAGAAATCAAATAAAACATTTACGAGAGATACCCGTGAGAATATGAGCTGAACGACAAAGCAAGCAGTAAGGGACTTGGATTTACTTTGTATTTATTTATTATTATTATTATTATTATTATTATTATTATCATTATATTTTTAAAAAAATCAAACGGTATTCGGTTCAGTTCAATTTTTTACCGAACAATTCGGATCGGATCGGTTTTTTTATTGCCGTTCGGTATACAAGAATTCAATACCGTTAGGTTGTTTGGTATATTACCGAACCAAATTAGTTCGGCTCGGTTTGGTACGATTCAGTTCAAGAAAACTAAACCGAATTGTCCACCCCTAAAGTTAATTATCAAAATGGTCCCTTGACTATAACAAATTACCAATTTGGTCCCAAGTTAACGGTTGACTAACGGCCAAACAAACGGAAGACCAAATTGGTTAAGATTTTTAAAGTTGAGGGATTGATCAAAAAGAATAGTCAAGGACCAAATTGATAATTTCACTATAGTTTAGGGACCATTTCGGTAATTAACTCTTTTCATTATTACTCACACATGATAGATACTACATTACCCAAAACTTTTGTACTTTGTATGAGGTTAGTATGCCACAATATTTTATATCAATTGATTAGGTATTTATGAATCGATTGGTTTAATTTGTCACAAATTAATCATACCAGATATTACTTAATATAGAGTACCATTTTGGACAATGTTTGATAAAATAAAATGTCTGAGAAATAGCATTATTCTGTAAAACAATTGTTAAACGATTCACAAGAGTTTTTCACACTTTTGGTCCCACGACTATAGTGACACTATCAGGTTTGATCCGTGACTTTCAAATCTCTCAATTTTGGTCTACGACTATTGTTTTTTTACAAAATGGTCATTCCGGCCCATTTTTTTTACGAAAATTGTTCTTACTCCGGTAGAAATTGACGAAAAATGGGCTGGAAGGATCATTTTTGTAACAAAAAAAAAAACAATAGTCGTGGACCTAGACTACAAGGTTTAAAAGTCATGGATCAATCATGATAGTGCTACTATAGTCGTGGGATCAAAAGTGCGAAAAATTTCGATTCGCAAGGGTATCTACTTGCATTGTGGAATCTAGTAAAAAACGACATTTAGATTATGTACCCATATTATTATATTTAGTTTAACATGTTGTGTCTGCAGTTAATAAATTATGTACATATTATAATTACTACAATTAACATAATATGTACTTGGTGGTATGCATCTTCAATTTATTTATAAGTATATAATTTGTTAATTGATAGAACATAATATATTAACTGTAGGTACATGCATAATCTGAATTTCATTTTGGACCAGGATCAACAATGCAAGGTGGACCTGGTCCGTGGTATAATTTACCTCTGTAAAATTGCCATATTGAAACTATATAACTTTATTTGGGTTGGAGTTTGTAATGGACTTAAGGAAAGAACAGACCGGAGGTGCTGGCAAATTATGCTGTGGATTCGTATGCACCATGCATGGTGCGTACGGATGCAAAAATGACGTCGTTTTATTAAAAACACACATCTCCCCTTAAAAAAAAAAAATTAGGTTCGATTCCCAGCAACAACATATTAACTAAAATTCCAGAATCGATGAACTATAATTCCAAAATCGATGAACTATAATTTCAGAATCGATGAACTATAATTCCAGAATCTAATTTATGAACTAAAACTCCAGAATCGATGAACTAAAATTTCAGAATCGATGAACTACAATTCCAGAATCAATGAACTATAATTCCAGAATCAATGAACTAAAATTCCATAATCTATGAACTAAAATTCCAAAATGAATGAACAACATAATGTTGTTGCTGGGAATCGAACTTGATTTTTTTTTTTTTAAGGGGAGAAGCGCGTTTTTAATAAAACGACATTGTTTTTGCATCATCTTTACTCAGAGGTGCTGGCCTGTTCAATCTAATGGTTTCCATCATCTTTACTGCCTATCTTTGCAGTAATTTGCTCCAAGAGGTCTTGAGTTGCTCAAAATATGCATATATTGAGTTATTATAAATGCTTTTTTTTACCTTTATCTAATAATTATAATTTAATGGTGGATTATATATGTTTCATTTTATTTTAATAAATAAAATTACGGTCAAATAAATCTCATCTCCCGTATTAAAAAAACATATGCAGGTTGATTTCATGGTCTACCATGACCAGGATTTATCAAGCATTCTCTTCAAGTTTGATGAATCAGATTTCACCTTCTCCCAGTTCGAGGGGCTACGGATGGACGGATCGGATTCACCAGACGACGAAGGCCAACACACTCCGTACTCCTCTCTAGAGGACCCGTTGGAGTACAAGAATACTTCTTCCTCCAACACCGCCATTGACATTTCACGCGATTCCGAGACCAAAAGGAACAAGAAAGGAAGTAGCGGTTTTCTCCCAGGTTTCATGGTGTCCTTGAACAATAGGAGAAAGGGTGCCCCTTCAAGGTCTCCCCTTTCTTGAAGATCAATTTGAATGTATTATTATTAGCTTCGATCTGATCTATCTCTTAATAAAATTTCTAGCTTCAACTTAGGATCGGTTGTATTATTATGTGTTAAGAAGAAGATAGGGTCTGCTGCTTAGCTTGTTAGCTAGCCAGCTTTAATTTGGTCTATATGATTGTAGCAAGCATGCATGGCTTCTCAGTACAATTAAGTGTTATTTATAATTTCATTAACTACTGATGGATATATTAGAAACATGTCCGGAGCAAACCGACCTAGTGAGGCGGGACAAGGCAGACCCAATTGAGCCCGAGGCCTCGGGGCTAAGATCATTGCTCAGTCCCCGCGGCCAAAAGTCGAGCGCAACACTTGGCCTGGGTTGCCGAAGGCCGAGCCCAGCGCTTGGTCTCAGCACCCTATACTAGGTCGTCAGCTGGCCAAGACCCCGCCTCTAGGCCGGGTAGGGCACGTAGACGTGGTTAAGAGGGGCGTTGTAACACCCCACTTTTTTTTAAACCTTATTAACAGATTCTTAACTTAAAAAGGGATACTAAACAAGCATAAAAGTCTTACTAAGCCAACTTTTAGTGGTGTCACTGCCACAATCATCACTCACGGTGATTGCACAGGCTAGGAAAAACAAATCTAAACAAAGTCAAGCTTAACTAACTTTACACAACTAGGGGAATAAAACCCCGGTGTACAACACTATCAAAACTGTAACACATCGTGTTACGATCCCTAAAACCAATTAATCATTTAACCAATTACCCAAAAGAAAGAATTAAATCACAATAATTAATTAGGAAAGACCCACCATAGTCCACAGGCCCGTATCCCTAAACCCAATCCTTAGTCCCAAAAGGAATAGAGTTAGCAAACCTATAGTAATTAGGCCTAAGTAAGACTCTTAGATATATAAATAGGGAACATAAGGAGGCACCTAGAATCCCCACCACAATAATCCCTCACCACACAAGAAGTTCCAAGAATTCCCCTAGGAGAAATCAAGAAAGAAGAAAGCTTCAAGAAAGACCCTTCATAGCCAATGAATTAATTAAGGCTAAGAGGTAACCCATGTCTCAACAAAACCTATTTTCATAACTATGATTCCCCTCTTAGGATTTCCCCATATTATTGTGTATTGATGATTTGTGATATTATTATTGATGATTGGTGGGATGATTCCATGAGTGATCTTGATGATGAGAGGTTCTTGATAATTATGATGTTCTTGACGATTATATAACGTTCTTGATAATTATATGGTGTTCTTGATGTTCTTAATGATTATATGAGGTTCTTGATAGTTATATGATATTCCTACCGAATCTTGATTTTGGAAGATGAACTGTGTTCTTGTTGATTTAAAAATAATTAGAACCCTAGGTATATCGTGGAATTCGTATGGTATTATTCTGGGTATATTGGGTGAGAATTCGCATGATTGGGTGTTGATTATGTTTAGAAAAGCATGATAGGTTATGTGTCATATGTTTCTTGATCTTTGATCCGTTAATTGTCTACGTGTGTTATCAATTGCGTTTGAAAGTGTCTAAGCACGGTTTCGGGTTCCATAAAGGTTCCCGGAGCGTTTTTGGTGAAAAAGAGTCAGTGGGGGGTAGGGGAACCGCCACCTACCCGCGGCCTATTTGGGCAACGCCGGCAGCAGGCAGCTGCCCGCCGGCGGGTAGACATGACCACGGTTCCGGTTCCGGTTCCGTATTTGGTCGAACCGGAACCGGCGGTTCCGGTTGGAACCGCCGGTTCTAACCGATATTTTTTTTTTTTTTTTTTTTTTTTTTTTTTTTGTAAATTGTAAGTTTTTAAGTATTGTTAGGCCTTGAGTTTGAGTAATTTTTTTTTTTTTTTTTTTTTTTTAAAGATGACAGTTGTAACTTGTAAGTTTAAGTGGAATAAAATGTTTAACTTTGCTATGTTTTAATACAAAGACCTTATGAGAATAGCGACCAGAGAGCATTGAAACTAATAAAGGCAATTCTTAGGCCATTAATGATTAGGATAACAAAGGAAACAAAAGACAATAAATTTTTCATTGTCATTTGTTTCCTTTATTTTTCTAAACATTAATAGACTAAGAATTACCTTTATCAGTTTCAATACTCTCTGGTCACTACTCCCATAAGGTCTTTATATTAATTTATTCATAGCAAAATTAAGTAATTTATTTCACTTAAACTAAAAAAAAATTTAATAATTTTAAAAATGCAAAATTTAATAATTTTGCATTTTTTTTATTTTTTCGGTTTGGAATCGGAACCGTCCGGTTCCGAACCGGAACCGGCGGTTCCGGTTCCAATATTATAGGAACCTTAACCGGAACCTTATAGGTTCCGGTTAAGAACCGGAACCGGAACCGTACGGACGGTTCCGGTTCGGTTCCGGTTAGCACAGTGACGGTTCCGGTTACGGTTCCGGTTTGAACCGGAACCGTGGTCACCCCTACCGGCGGGTGATCCCTCACCCACCGGCTACCCGCTGGTTTGTACCCAATTTGGGATTTTGGCTTCCCCGTTTGATGTTCCCCCGATCCCCGTGGTGTCCCAACGGACTCTGTCTATCGTGCCTATGTCTAGTTTGATATTTCGGGTACCGTTCGTAGGTTGTATGAGTCTTATATATTGCATGCTAATTGAATTGGTATCCCGTTGACCTAGGTGAAAGAAGTATGAACCCCTTAGGATTATTCTTAGTATGTGAAGGATCACGCATAGGTTTTGTTATACGTTTTCTCCCCCTTCCCAATGTGTTAATGTGGGTTGCATGTGCTTGCTATGTGTTATGTGTGCATGATACCCCAATTCGGTTGCGATCGGATTGGTTATTCCTGAGCTGCGGTTCAGAAGCTGGCTGCAGTCAGATTTACACTCTCGGGCTGCGGTCCACCGTTTGGTTGCGATCAAACGTTTTTACATGAGCTGCGGTTCATATTTCCTGGCTGCTGTCAGATGACATACTTTTGGGCTGCGGTCCACTGTTTGGTTGCGATCAAACTATGATGAGCTGCGGTTCATCGGTCGGTTGCGATCGACCCCTCCGTGTTGCGATACGGGGCAGGGTGCTGCGGGGCCGTGTCAGAGCTATATGCGCTGACCCTCATGTATGGGCATGCGATTGGTCCTGTGGCGCCAACAAAGTGTGCTATGTGATGAGATACGGATGAGTTGTTGTTATGAGTACCTTGGGGATGTGACTATGGGTTTTATACTGGGAATCGTATATGTTGGATTATGATTATTAATTGTGCTTATCTTACCTGTCTTGCCTGTTGTAAACTGTATATGCTTGGTATAACTGCTGTCTGTGCTTAGCCCTATCTGTTGAGTCGATCCCTGTTTTAAAAGCTAGAGTCTCGTAGGATATATCTTCATGCTTCAAATTGGTTTTCCTATATCTATATATATGTCTATATGTATTGTATTTCAACGCGTTGGAGTGGGTTACCAGCATCTCTCGCTGAACAGATATATTTGGCTTTCAGGCACAGACGAGTAGATCACTGGAGCGCAGAAGCTTGAGGCGTAGCTTAGATAGTTTTCCCTTTTCGGCCTGCGTGCCATGATTTAGTATTGATACTGATTGAGGTTTTAGAATTTAGCCTGTGCACCCGAGTTCTCTAGCTCGGGTGTGGCATAGCACCCCGTACTCTTTATATCGTAATTTGGGATTTAATGAGATTCTATCTTTATTATATAAGTTTTAAAAGTCTTGAAAATCTGGGGTGTTACAAAAACATATAGGTAAGTCTACAACCAAGTCTCAAAATGAACATAACTGAAAAGGAGTTTAGACTACAACTAGCACACTAAGCTAATCTAGTCTAACTTGATCGCTCTCAAGAACTGGGCTCACCTGAAAGGGGTTAACAAACAAACAAGTAGAAAACAACCCATTAGCACGAAGCTAAGTATAACGCCACTCAACCCTATAAAATACTACGTACATTATATACTTTTGGAAAACATTTGTTTCACATACTTAGATCAAGTATTCTCAATCACTTAAGCAACATTTAAACATGCTCAATAGGATTTCTATATGCTTGCAACCTAATTATCAAATAGGCATACTTTCTCAATTATTTAACTTCTCAACAATCTCAAGCTTGCACATACTTATCTTATCATGGCGATATACACTAATCATACTCAAACTGGTGGTTAAAAATATACTTATACTTTAACAAGCAATCTCATGCTAACATATAACTCAATAAGCAATATCATGCTATCATAAACTCGATAAGCAATCTCATGCTATCATAAACTCAATAAGCAATCTCATGCTATGATTGCATACAAGGCGTTTGACCTTGGCTTTGGGATTCATTGACTAGTATACTTGTGTCTTAATGGTTGTTCTAGTGAGTTGACCTATGATGGATTGTGTTACTTGTTTCTTTTCCTTTTTTCTTTTCTTGGTTTAGTTTCATTAGTACTTTGGATTGTTGTTTTTGTTTTAGTACCTTGGTTCAATTCCGCCCAACATTAATTTTCTTTAAATTTCATGTTTTTTTATTCTGTTGAAAGTGCCCTTACTAACCATTGTGAATATTTTGTGGGTATTCTTGATAAGCTTGATTTAGGGTTGATATGATCGGTTGGGGCAAAGGTTGATTGGTGATTGACAAAGGAGAAATTGCATCATCTTGAAAAAAGGGACTTTATATCCTTTCCCCTTCTATCCTTGACTTGTTTTAGTACCCCATTAGCATGTTCTAAACTATGGAAACCACACCCTATTTGCACTTCTAAAGTGTAGAAAGGACATTGTTGTATCATTTGCCTATCCACCCCACCCTACACTTATAAGGTGTGAAAATGGGAATTATGATTTCAGCCAACATGTTTATTTCCACCCCTACACCCATGTGATTCAACACCGAGGACGATGTTCGTTCTGAAGTGTGGAAAGGGTGCACTTTGTGCTTTCTTGATATTCGTTGATGAACCTTGTGTTTCTTGAATGTTCACACTTTTGGATGGTGACACGATGAGGTTGTACCCCATTGACTTGTTTTAGAAGAGGCAATTTCAAAAAACATCCCAACATTCCTTGAATTGAGATTGTCACACATGGTTTTCCATATTTGGTTGCTAAAATGGAAGATATCACCTACTTGACTCTTGTGCATGACTTGATTGTTTTACCATTTGAGTTCGTGAGCT